CATGCTCTTCAGCCCATGTTAGGTTTAGTTATTTTCACATAGGATTTCAAGTATTTGCCCAGGACCAGCCTCCAACCTCCATTCTCTGCCTATGCCCCCCGCGTAGCTGAGATGATAGGTTTGTACCACCGTATCTGGGTTGTTGTTGAGATGTTGAGGCCTAGCTGGACTCAAACTTTGATCCTGCCGATCTCCTACTCCTGAGTAGCTGGGATTACAGACTGACCCTCAGTTTTTCACTATTGATCTTTGTTAACCTACACATACACACTCTGGTGATGCTGGGCAGTGAATTAGTGCAGCGCTCCTTCTGCCTCACAGTCCCAAGGATGAACCCCTGACCCTGTGCAGTGAGCTGTGGCACTATGGCATCCGTGGGTCAGGTGTCTGAAGTGCATTTCCACCTTACCATGGATCTTTGGGATGCAGCCCCATCATAAGTCAGGGGATCTGAGTCTCCAAGTTGTTCCTTTCCAAGACTCTTTTGGATATTTGGGGTCCTTGGACATGCCATAGGGATTTTAGCATGTGTTTTTCTGTCTCTGCATCAAACACTGCTGGAACTTGACAGGAATTGAATTGAATGTGTCCATTGCTCTGGTGCTATGGACAGTCCCCAGTATTGTATTCCAGTACACGAGCGACAAACCAGTCATCCACGATCCAACTGAATCTCATTCATTTGATGGAAAAACTATGATATTTATATATTTGATTATTCCCTCATTCACTTAACAATTATTGTCGAAATTCATTTTTAATTGACAAATAAGATTATATATTTATCATGTAAAAAAAAGTCATTCCACTGTTCTTTGTCATCTTTATTTGTTTTAATTGTAGCTTTAAATTTATTTATTCGTGCCTTTTTCAACTTCTTTTAATGATGTTTGTGGCTTTTGTATGTTAATCTATTATTTTCTTTGATGAAAAAATTGCTGTTTTATTCTTTGGCTATATTTTTAATGCAATGGATTGGTAACTTCAGTTTCAAATTTTTTGTTGTTAGTTCCACATATGCGGCTGACCTTTGTATGTTAACTGTTTCCTGTGAGATTTAAAATTACTTTATATGTTCTTTCTGTGTTTTTGCAAAGCCTGCACTATTTCTACCCACAAGATCACATCACTTGGATGGGTTTAATTCTTTTCCTTGCCCAATTTCTCTGGCTTGAGTTCCAGTGCCATGTTGAATAGGAGTGGAGGGATTGGGCTTCCTGTCCTTGCTCCTGATCTCAAGGGAAATATTTCAGTCTCTCCATGTGAATATGGTGTTAGGCAAAGGCATTTCATAAATGACTTTCATTGTGTTGAAGTAGTTTTCTTTTCTTCCTAGTTTCTTGAATTTTTTTTAACTCAAAATGCATCTGGAATTTTGTCAAATGTTTTCTCCTCCACCAGTTGAGATGATAATGTAGTTTTTGTCTTGTTCTTGTTAATGTGGTAGAGTGCATTAATTAATTTTAAATGTTCAATGATTGTGACATTCAAGGGTAATGATCCCTTGGTCATGGTGTATAATTTTTGGTTATACAGGTGTGGTCAGCACGATAGTATTTTTTGAAGATCTTCCCCTCAATGCTCCTTAGGGATACTGGTCCTCTTCTTCTTTCCTGGCAGCATTTTGTGTAGCATTGAAACGAGAGCAATGTTGTTCTTACCAACTAAAGTAGGAAGTATTTCCTCCTCTTCAATTTTCTGGAAAACTTGGAAAGGACTTCTGTTAATGTACCGTCATTGTTGTGCAAGAGATCTGCAGAACTTGATCACCTTACAGACCTTCAGCTCACCACTGAACTCCCTGCACTGGTCCTGGGCCTCTGGAGCTTCCTCTGTTTCTACACTGCTCCACTGCCTGGAATCTCTTGCTCCCCCCAGTGCCTGCCTGCGGTACTGCAGCATCAAGGCTGCCTGCCTGGCATCCAGACAAGCCAGAACATAGGACACAGGTCCTGCTCTCCTTTCTGTCCCTGGGGAGGAGCTGGGTATTGGGTCTTTGCTCCCAATGGCACAGCTACGTATGGTTGGGAGAGGTGCAAAGGTCGGCAAAATGGTGCATCGTCCCTGCCCTTCCTGGCTTTGTGCTGGCTGGGTGCTGCAGCTTCCTAACCATTTTCTAGAATTCTCCCACGTTTTGGTCCTGTAGTGAGCTAGTTTCCGGGTTCGGTTCTATGGCATTTATCCCTGGGGGTGACAGGGGACCATCGTCCATGCGTGTTCTCCCCTCCTCTGCTGGCAGACCCTGTGTTGTGCCCTCCATTGAGACACCGTGAAGGACGCTGCTGTGGTTGGGGTCTGATTATCTCTTCTCCACCCTCTGTGCAATTCCTGTGGATTTGTCCTCAGCTGGGAAGCTCCTGATCATAGGGAGGTGACTCTGCTTTGTTGAGGAGTCCCTTGACACTTTTCCTCAGTGTCTGCACCATTTTTCAGTCCCATCAAGAGTGCACCAGCTTCCCCAACCTCCACTTTCTGCCAACCCTTGTTTTCTAGGGTTGATTTTGGGTAGAAGCCATCCTCGTGACTGGGGGGTGGTGTGTCACTGAGGTGGGGATTTGCATTGTCCTAATGGTGAGTGACTGTGAGCACCTTTTCTGGAGCTCCCTGGGCATTTGAACACTGTCCTTGGAAGAATATCTACTCTAGTCCTTCCTCTTTTGTGTTCTTGTTGTTGTACTGAGGTTTAAACTCAAAGCCTCACTATGCTATGTGGACACCCTCACTGCTTGAGCCCTTTTTATGAAGGGTTTTTGAGATAGTCTCAGAACTATTTGCCCATGCCTAGCTGCAAATTGACATCCTCCTGCTCCCTGTGTCCTGAGTAACTTCAGTCTTTTCTTTTCCTTTCTTTCTTCTTCTTCTTTTTTTTTTTTTTTTTTTTTTTTGCTTTTTCGTGTTAATGTGGTTTGAGCTTAGAACCATGAGCTTGTCAGGTAGGTGTTGCACTACTTGAGCCACACCCCCAGCTTTTTTTTTTTTTTTTTGCCTCACCATTTTCTCCGGGGCTGGATTTTTACCCTGAAGAATTGCTTTCCTCATTATGGATGTACCAGGCTGGCCTGAAGCCGTGATCCTTCTGCCCATCCTCCTGAGTGCTGGGATTACAGAAATACACCACCATACCCAGCTTTCATGTTGGCTTTCTTGTTGAAATCACTGGAGCATATACACTCAAAGGATTAAACTGGGAGATCATTGTGAGAATGCATTTCCTTGTGTAAAATTGTAGAACTTACTCCTCAAACCCAGGTTGACACTGGAGCCTGTTTCTATATCAACAGCCAGTTCAGCGTGCTACTCTTGAACTTGGTAGGATCTAAGAGGAAATTATTTCCATCTCTCCATGTGGATATGGTGTTAAGTGTATCCATTTCATATCAAGCTTTTATTGAATGGAAGTAGTTTTCCTTTTTTCCTAGTTTCTTGCATTTTTTAAATCAAAATGCATATGGAATCTTGTCAAATGTTTTCTTCTGCACCAGTTGAGATGATAATGTGATTTTTGCGTTTGGTCCTGTTGATGTGGTATATTGCATTAATTAATTTATATTTTCAATAATTGTCAAATTCAAGAGTAATGATAACTAGTCATGGTGTATAATTTTTGGTTATACAGGTGAAATCAGTGTGCTAGTATTTTTTTTGAAGATCTTCCCCTCAACTCTACCTAGGGATACTGGTCCTCTTCTTCTTTCCTGGCAGCATTTTGTGTAGCATTGAAACGAGAGCAATGTTGTTCTTACCAACTAAAGTAGGAAGTATTTCCTCCTCTTCAATTTTCTGGAAAACTTGGAAAGGACTTCTGTTAATGTACCCTCATTGTTGCGCAAGAGATCTGCAGAACTTGATCACCTTACAGACCTTCAGCTCACCACTGAACTCCCTGCACTGGTCCTGGGCCTCTGGAGCTTCCTCTGTTTCTACACTGCTCCACTGCCTGGAATCTCTTGCTCCCCCCAGTGCCTGCCTGCGGTACTGCAGCATCAAGGCTGCCTGCCTGGCATCCAGACAAGCCAGAACATAGGACACAGGTCCTGCTCTCCTTTCTGTCCCTGGGGAGGAGCTGTGAATTTGTAGTTTGCTCCCAATGGCACAGCTACGTGTGGTAGGGAGAGGTGCAAAGGTTGGCCAAATGGCGGATCGTTTTTGCCCTTCCTGGCTTTGTGCTGGCTGGGTGTTACAGCTTCCTTACTGGTTTCTAGAATTCTCACAAGTGCTTGGTCATATAGGGCCCTCTTGGGAACAAGAGCCTAGACCTTCTAGTCACTTCCTTGCTGGTGTATTTTCAAGTGCTGTGCCTCTTGTGGCAGTGTCCAGGAGCTCATAGCACAGGTGTTAGCCGTGGACCCTCCTGCTCTGCTGTAACTTAGACCTCATTACGTGAGGTTTCCTGTGCCCTGAGGACATCCAGCCACCTGCTTCAAAGACCATGGGACGATTAATGAATTGGCACATACAGAGCAAGCAGAGGAGCCTGGCATGTAAGTGCCAATCATGGATCGCACAGACCTCGTTCCTGCAGGTTCTTCTCATGACTGCGTCACCATAACCACAGACTCCTGGCATAAGGAGGACACTTTCTATGTCCCCATTCCCATCAAAACATAGCTTTCCTGTTCATCCATTGACTTTCCTATGCCCATCTGGATCAGGAATCTCTGAGTAGGAATCCACCATCATTTGCCACTGTGTTCCCAGGGCCAGCCCAGCACAAATTGCATGTCTACATCACCTGAACTCAAGTCTCAGGTCTCGGTCCTCTACCCAGTGTAGCGCCCGGCAGGGAAAGTGGGAGAGGACCTTTGAACCTCCCTGTCTGCTTGTGCACCTCTGGCTGCACAATCAACATAGCTGAAGTCAGAGGGCAAAGGGCAGCCTCAGATCCTTTATAAGGGAACACACCAGGCTGGTCACAGGCCCAAGGCATACTAAGAGGATCTTGCGTGGTCCTAGGTACCTTGTGCGTGTGCTCAGAGCAATTCAGTGGGCAGCAGGCAGCCATGGGGCTGCTGACCGGGGACGCACTGCTCACCCTGGCCATGGCTGTGGCCATCTTTCTGTTCCTGGTGGACCTGATGCACCGGCACCAACGCTGGGCTGCCCGCTACCCACCAGGCCCCGTGCCACTGCCTGTGCTGGGCAACCTGCTGCACGTGGACTTCTATAACACGCCATACAGCTTCTACAAGGTGAGGAGGTGGTGGTGCAGGGCAGAGGAGGTCATCAGGGATCTCCAGCAACAGAGAGTGGTTGTGAAGGCACAGGCTGGACAAGAGGCTTGGCCTCCATTAGGAGCAGGTTAAGAGGCTTCCTGGGGGAGGCACTGCTGGACTTTCCAAGGTCAGACGTGTGGAAGGCAAGGCTGGGGTTCTGCAGTCTGCCCGGGGCCTCCACCTGACCAGTTCCCTGACCTTCTAACTACAGCTACGACGCCGCTTTGGGAACGTGTTCAGCCTGCAGCTGGCCTGGAAACCGGTGGTCGTGCTCAATGGGCTGGCAGCTGTGCGGGAGGCGCTGGTGACCCGCAATGAAGGACACAGCAGACCGTCCTCCAATGCCCATCTATGAACACCTGGGCTTCGGGCCAAGATCCAAAGGCAAACATCTGTGGGGCACAGTTGTCCTCATTGGAGGACAAAGGGGCAGTGACCAAAGGAAGGCAGGATCTAATGGGGGTGGTGATGTGGTCCAGTGAAACAAGGAAAAGCCAGAGAACTGCAGGGCAGAAGCTATAAAGTAACCTGTGCAGGCTAGCGTTGGGGATGGAGGGGAGACGGAATTTTTGGTGTCAGTGTCTGGTGCAAGCCTGCACCCAGAGGAGGAGAGGAATGCTGGGGGTGGCAGAGGACACGACCGGGAACACATGGTCAGGCACACATGTCCACTCATCCCCAGGGGTTATCCTGGTGCCCTATGGGCCTGCTTGGCGCGAGCAGCGTCGCTTCTCCGTGTCCACCCTGCGCAACTTCGGCCTGGGCAAGAAGTCGCTGGAGCAGTGGGTGATCGAGGAGGCCGACTGCCTCTGTGCCGCCTTCACTGACCAGGCTGGTGGGTGATGACCTAAGGACAACAGGAGGCTCAGGCACACAGGGGTGGGAGAATATGGGTGACGTCCCTATCCCCCTATCACACCCAGGGCGCCCCTTCAGACCCAACGCCCTCCTAAACAAGGCTGTGTGCAACGTGATCGCCTCCCTCATCTATGCCCTCCGCTTTGAGTACGACGACCCACGCTTGGTCAGGCTGCTGGATTTATTGGAAGAGAATATGAAGGAGGAGTCCGGCATCCTTCCTGAGGTTCGGGGCTCAGAGGAGGGTGTGCAGGGCAGCTGCAAGCAGCTGGGCTTCCCAGGAGGAGGATTTGCAGGCAGGAAGGATGGAGAGAGGTTTTGGAAATGACCACTGCAGGAGGAAAAGCCAGGAGCTGGGTAAACCTCAGATGCCAGGAATGGAAGTGGTGGCCCAGGGTAGAGGGCCCCAGAAATGTTAGTCTGTGTCCCCTGTCCCTTTGGAAGCCACAAAAGCCTGTGAGATGGCCATGCACGCTATTCCCTCATGGCAGCTCAGCGCCTTGAGAGGGCATGATGGAGGGAGCAGGGGAGAGCAGGGACTGGCGGGTCCTATGTCCACCCTGGGGCAGGATGAGAGTGTTGTGGTCCAGGTGAGTACTGAGCACAGGAAGGATTCAGGCCCCTCCGTGGCTGTCACAGCTGCTGAACGCAGTCCCAGTCCTCCTGCGCATCCCAGGACTGCCTGGCAAGGTCTTTCCTGGGCAGAAGGCCTTCTTCGTCCTGCTGGATGAGCTGTTGACTGAGCACAGGATGACCTGGGACCCGGCTCAGCCACCCCGAGACCTGACTGACGCCTTCCTGGCCGAGGTGGAGAAGGTGAGGGGAGGCTGCCAGAGCTGGGTCATGGGCTGTGGGCAGAGGATGCTGTGGGTTGTGGGGCCAGGCAGGGTGGAACCTGTGCACTACCACGTGACCTAGCACTGGAGTTTGTTGGTGGGAATGGGAGGTCATTTGGGGGCTTCCTCCCTCTGTCCCCTGACCCAGGCCAAAGGACACCCAGAGAGCAGCTTCAATGATGAGAACCTGCGCATGGTGGTGGCTGACCTATTCACCGCTGGGATGGTGACCACCTCCACCACGCTGGCCTGGGCCCTGCTGCTCATGACCCTGCACCCGGATGTGCAGCGTGAGCTCAGGCGGGGCGGGTTGGGAGGGCGTGGAGGACAAGTAGCACCAGGGCCCTGGCTTTGTGGGACACAGATGACTCCCAACTCTGTCTTTGCCCAGGTTCCTTGAATAATATTTTCTTCAGCTGCCCTCAGCCCTAAACCCTTGACGGGGAAGGTCAGGGCGCACCTCAAAGAGACTGATGGTTCTGGGGGTGCTCTTTCCTCCAGGCCGGGTCCAGCAGGAGATCGATGAAGTGATAGGGCAGGTGCGGCGGCCAGAGATGGGGGACCAGGCACGCATGCCCTTCACCAACGCCGTGATCCACGAGGTGCAGCGCTTTGCAGACATCATCCCTGTTAATTTACCCCACATGACCTCCCGTGACGTTGAAATACAGGGCTTCCTCATCCCCAAGGTAGGCGTGGGGCCCTCCTACCCTGCATGCCCACTGCAGGGGAGTGAAGGAAAGACCCATGTCGCTCCATCTGGGATCCCCGCAGCAATGACGGGGATCACCTAGGCTCGGTGTGATGGAGAGCACAGACAGGGCCAACCTTCCCTAATCGAGACCTGGTGTAGTGTACTCCAACACTACAGGTACTGAAGTAACCACTTCACACAGGGACAGGTGGCAGCAGGGACCACCATGGGAAATTTGTCTTGGGCCCTGGCATAGCATGAAAAGATCTTTTAGAAATTTAGAGGGTTACATTAAAGGGTCCAGGTGTGTGCCAGGTAGAGAGTGCCCGTGTGTGTTTAGTGGCAGGGCCCTCGATCTCCCCATCCCTGTCCACATTCACACCATGAGTCTCCCTCCAGGGGACAACGCTCATTCCCAACCTGTCATCCGTGCTGAAGGATGAGACCGTCTGGGAGAAGCCCTTCCGCTTCCACCCTGAACACTTCCTGGACGCCCAGGGTCACTTCGTGAAGCCCGAGGCCTTCATGCCGTTCTCAGCAGGTGCCTGTGGGGTGCTGGCTCCCTGTCCCTTCCCATGGCACCTTGGAGGGTTGGCCCAGGCCCCAGGCTGACTGAACCCCTCCCCCCACAGGCCGCCGCATGTGCCTCGGGGAGCCCCTGGCCCGCATGGAGCTCTTCCTCTTCTTCACCCGCCTCCTGCAGCGCCTCAGCTTCTCGGTGCCCGCAGGACATCCCCGCCCCAGCGACTATGGGGCCTTTGCCATCCCTGTTTCCCCATCCCCGTACGAACTCTGTGTAGCATCCCGCTAGGGGGACACCCAATGTCCGATGGCCCCAAGCATGGCCTGATGCTCAATAAACCAGTCCTGCTGCTGCCACCGGTTTCTTGGTCATCTGACTGTCCCCTGTCTGTGCAGGGTCCTGACAACAGCAAAGCCAGCATCACCCTCCCTGCTCCACCCTGCCTGGCCACTGAGTCCTCCACAGGAAACTGTCCTGTGATGCTCAGTGTGCCACTCCTCCCCCACAAGGTCCCTGCACAATGGTTATGGTGCTCTATAGCAAAGCACAGGGAGGAAAAGAGCAGAGCGAAAGGACCATGTGACAGAGTCCAGGAGGACACAGTCCAGTTGTCTGTCTGAGGAGCTTAATCTAGACAAACTCCCCTCTCTCAGCACCAAGGTGTGACACATAGAGAGGAGGCTGATGACACGCAGCTCACCGAGGCTCCGTGGCCAGCTGTTTATTCAGGGTTGGTCCCACATGGCAGGCCTGCGTGACTCAATCTCCATCCCCCGTGGAGTCAGACTGACACAGCCCTAGGCCCCCAGCCTCAGCCCCACTGTGGACTAAATAGTGTGGCGTTGACCATGGCGCCAGGTACATAGGCACACTCTCAGCAGGAAGTCATGCCCAGGCAGCAGGGAAGGCCTAGAGCAGCCTCCCCAGATGCTGGCCTCAAGTCATCATCCTCTTTTCTCATCCTCACAATTCTGGGATTACAGGTGTGCTCTGGCAGGGAGTCAGGCCTATGTGTGGAATATTCACCATCACACCACCCACCTGGCTGAGGTAACCCAACTGCCCAGGCCACCCTGCTTCTCACTGACAGCACCGTGATCACACCTTGAGCATCTATTTGTTTTTATTGTGGTAAGACACAAACCTAAACTTTACATTTTGACTTGATTTTGGTAATACAGGTTTTTGATCTCTAGGCCTCTCGCTTGCTAGGCAGGCGCTCTGCCCCTGGAGCCACTCCCCCAGCCTTGCACAGAGCTCTTCATCTGGCAAAACCGAAACGCTGCACCACTTAGACAATAGCTCCCCAGCACCTGCACACCCCCTTCTACTCCTGTTTCTAGAATTTACTACGGTAGCTACGTGGACGTGGAATCAAACGATCCGTCTTTCTGTGGCTGAGGAATGTCATTAGGGGAGCGTCTCCACTTTCCTTCACGTTGGAGCAGGGAGCTCCTTCTGCTCACCTAGACCAACGACCATGTGTGCACTCCAGTTAGTCCCCATCACCCTCTGTTTCTGTACTTGGTTTCATTTAAAGGTGGGCAGGCAGCCACAGTCCAGAAATCTTTCATGGAAGATTCCAGAAATGAGCAACAGATGAATGTTAAATTGCAAGCCACGCTGAGGAGCGTGGTTCTGTCACATCTGCCTCTTCCATCCGCTCACATTTGGCGCAAGAATGATGCCTGGACCGGGGCAAATTAGTGACCAACTGGACAGTGACTGTAGGGTCAGTTTACCAGAGAGACTTTGGTGGCCTTGCTGCTGTGTTCAGGGAAGAAGGTCACAGGCCTATTGCCACTGCACAGTGCCCACGCCCTCCCCTCACTCCAGCTTCGTCACGCAGGCCCTGTGTCATCTCCCATCACCCAGCAGGACGCACGTGGACAGAGCAATGCGACCACATTGAGTGAATCGGCCCCTTCATATAGCCGTCATTACACGACCTTGTTGTCACGTTGTCATTACTTCTTGTTATTAATCCTCCAAAGGGCCTAATGTATAAATGAACCTTCACCATAGCTACGGACGCACAGGAAGAACCATTGCTAGTTTCCGGGTTTGGTTCTATGGCATTTATCCCTGGGGGTGACAGGGGACCATCGTCCATGCGTGTTTCTCCCCTCCTCTGTTGGCAGACCCTGTGTTGTGCCCTCCATTGAGACACCGTGAAGGATGCTGCTGTGGTTGGGGTCTGATTATCTCTTCTCCACCCTCTGTGCAATTCCTGTGGATTTGTCCTCAGCTGGGAAGCTCCTGACCATAGGGAGGTGACTCTGCTTTGTTGAGGAGTCCCTTGACACTTTTCCTCAGTGCCTGCACCATTTTTCAGTCCCATCAAGAGTGCACCAGCTTCCCCGACCTCCACTTTCTGCCAACCCTTGTTTTCTTGGGTTGATTTTGGGTAGAAGCCATCCTCGTGACTGGGGGGTGGTGTGTCACTGAGATGGGGATTTGCATTGTCCTAATGGTGAGTGACGGTGAGCACCTTTTCACAAGCTTCCTGGACATTTGAACACTGTCCTTGGAGGAAGGTAAACTGTAGTCCTTGCTCATTTTTCTTGTTGTTGTTTTAGTGGTACTGAGGTTTGAACTCAGGGTCTCACGCTTGCCTGGCAACTGCTCTACCAATTAGCCACACACCGAATCGATCCTCGATCATTTTTGTATCACAATGTCTCTCTGTGTCTAGTTATTTTTTTTTCCTCTTATTATTCATATGTGCATACAAGGCTTGGGTCACTTCTCCCTGTGTCTAGTTATTAACGTCCTGTCAGATGTGTTACGTGGGATTATTTCCCACTGTGTGTTTTGTCTTTTTCCGTGTTCTCTTCTAAGAGGTTGATCTAAGACTTTGAGCTTACATGCAAAGGATTAATGTGGGAGATGCATTCTTTTTGTTTGTTTGTTTGTTTGTTTGTTTTATTCATTTATTCATAGGTACATACATTATTTGGGCCATCTCCACCTCTGCCTCCCACCCCCACCCTCTCCTCTTCTTCACCACAGGCTTCCAGGTAGAACCTGTTCTGCCCGCTTCTCCAGTTGATTTGAAGAGAAGACATAAGCAATAATAAGAAACACATAGCGTTTTGCTTGTCTAAGGTAAAGATAGCTATACAGAGAGATTCCTAGCATTGCTCCCATGCTCATGTGTGTTACATCCAGAATTGATTCATCTCCACCTGACCTCTTCACTGCTTCCAGGTCGGAGATCATTGTGAGAATGCATTATCTTGTGTACAATTGTTGAACTTACTTGTTCAATCCTAGGTTGATTCAGGGCCTGTTTCTATATCAACAGCCAGTTCAGCGTGCTACTCTTGAACGCGGTAGGCAATCGTAACAGAGGCAGGAATACAGCGTGACTGAGGAGCAGGGTATTTCATCCGTGTTTCCATCCCATCAGAGCATTGTGCCTGTGCTGCCCATCGTTGAAAGAGAGGTCCATGGAGGTGGATTTGATTTCTAGCACTCCTATCCACTGGTGTGTATGTCTTTCTTTACACCAGTACCAGGATGTCTTCATTACTGTAGCTGTGTACAGAGGGTCGCCAACAATGGTTTGACATGATTTTTTGCCATGATGATGGAAATGTGATATGCTTTCAGTGAGAACTATAGGTGAAAATTTGAGTGGATTTTTTTGGTGGCCTGGAATTAGAACTCAGTGCCTCTCACTCCATGGCAGGTGCTCTGTCACGTGAACCATGCTCTTCAGCCCATGTTAGGTTTAGTTATTTTCACATAGGATTTCAAGTATTTGCCCAGGACCAGCCTCCAACCTCCATTCTCTGCCTATGCCCCCGCGTAGCTGAGATGATAGGTTTGTACCACCGTATCTGGGTTGTTGTTGAGATGTTGAGGCCTAGCTGGACTCAAACTTTGATCCTGCCGATCTCCTACTCCTGAGTAGCTGGGATTACAGACTGACCCTCAGTTTTTCACTATTGATCTTTGTTAACCTACACATACACACTCTGGTGATGCTGGGCAGTGAATTAGTGCAGCGCTCCTTCTGCCTCACAGTCCCAAGGATGAACCCCTGACCCTGTGCAGTGAGCTGTGGCACTATGGCATCCGTGGGTCAGGTGTCTGAAGTGCATTTCCACCTTACCATGGATCTTTGGGATGCAGCCCCATCATAAGTCAGGGGATCTGAGTCTCCAAGTTGTTCCTTTCCAAGACTCTTTTGGATATTTGGGGTCCTTGGACATGCCATAGGGATTTTAGCATGTGTTTTTCTGTCTCTGCATCAAACACTGCTGGAACTTGACAGGAATTGAATTGAATGTGTCCATTGCTCTGGTGCTATGGACAGTCCCCAGTATTGTATTCCAGTACACGAGCGACAAACCAGTCATCCACGATCCAACTGAATCTCATTCATTTGATGGAAAAACTATGATATTTATATATTTGATTATTCCCTCATTCACTTAACAATTATTGTCGAAATTCATTTTTAATTGACAAATAAGATTATATATTTATCATGTAAAAAAAAGTCATTCCACTGTTCTTTGTCATCTTTATTTGTTTTAATTTTATCTTTAAATTTATTTATTCGTGCCTTTTCAACTTCTTTTAATGATGTTTGTGGCTTTTGTATGTTAATCTATTATTTTCTTTGATGAAAAAATTGCTGTTTTATTCTTTGGCTATATTTTTAATGCAATGGATTGGTAACTTCAGTTTCAAATTTTTTGTTGTTAGTTCCATATGCGGCTGACCTTTGTATGTTAACTGTTTCCTGTGAGATTTAAAATTACTTTATATGTTCTTTCTGTGTTTTTGCAAAGCCTGCACTATTTCTACCCACAAGATCACATCACTTGGATGGGTTTAATTCTTTTCCTTGCCCAATTTCTCTGGCTTGAGTTCCAGTGCCATGTTGAATAGGAGTGGAGGGATTGGGCTTCCTGTCCTTGCTCCTGATCTCAAGGGAAATATTTCAGTCTCTCCATGTGAATATGGTGTTAGGCAAAGGCATTTCATAAATGACTTTCATTGTGTTGAAGTAGTTTTCTTTTCTTCCTAGTTTCTTGAATTTTTTTTAACTCAAAATGCATCTGGAATTTTGTCAAATGTTTTCTCCTCCACCAGTTGAGATGATAATGTACTTTTTGTCTTGTTCTTGTTAATGTGGTAGAGTGCATTAATTAATTTTAAATGTTCAATGATTGTGACATTCAAGGATAATGATCCCTTGGTCATGGTGTATAATTTTTGGTTATACAGGTGTGGTCAGCACGATAGTATTTTTTGAAGATCTTCCCCTCAAT